TTTAAGGGGTAGCTGTTTAACATTTTGGGCATGAAAGAGTTAATGTAAAAGTGCGGCTGCCGGCAGGTATTTATGGTTGCTGCTGAAGCAGGCAGGCGGCTGTAGCTGCTGCCGAGCAGGGCGGCTTTTGCAGGGATAAAAAAAAAAAAAAAAAAAAAAAAAAAACCAAACCACAAAGTGGGGGGGGAAGAGCAATGACGCAGCAAACTCCTCGCCGGTTAACAGTGTGCAGTTTAACCTGTCTGCTTCTCAAGAACTGATAACGTGGGGGAGGGGGTATATTTGTGTCCGCCTGCCTACAGGTCCATGGTGACTGCCTGCAAAGTTTGTCAAGCCTTGCCATGAGCTGGACAGACGAATGGATAAACCTGATGCCTCAGCTACAGGAGCTGACCGTGAATACCCCAAGCAGAATGAGATAGAGGAAGAGAAAAAACAAATAACTGCAAAACATCACTTGGGGGCAACTGAAAAGTAGCATCCTGAATATGTGTGCTTGTAAAGTAGCTATTATTAGAGGTTGTGATTTTGTGTATAAAACCACCTGTATTTAATAGCTAGTTGCTAATAAGAAGCTACACCTTGTATTGTATAGATTTGTCACTTGTAAAAGAGATGTTAGAGTATGGAAATTTGCAGTAGCTGCTAGAAAATGCTAAGGCAAAAGCTAGAAAGATTTTAATACAATGGTAGTGTTATAAAGCAGGTGATGGAACAAATTTAAGAGGGGGGGAGAATTCCACTGGTAAGAAATTTCTTTGGTTAGTCCTTCACTGCCATCAGCATCTTCAACATGCTGCTGCACCCTGTAATAGTTACTCTGCTCATGTAAATTTGTGTGTGCCTTGCTGTAGTAGCGACTTGTTACTGGATGAAGCAGGTGAAACTGTGCACTGACAACAAGGTGCAAGGACTGAGGCTGACCAAATGCCTGCTACCACAGTCAAGGGCAAGACTGGGTTGGCTTCTGTGTTTGCCACCAAGAAGAACCTTTAGCTCCGCTGTTGGCTGCAACCCAGCAGGCGTGGAGCGGTGGGGACACATGCCATGCCAGACCTTGATGTGAAGGATCAGAGAGCTATACAGCCTGTTATCAGAGAGCCATACAGCAGAAAAAAGGGGCAGGCCCAGGCAGCCTCTAGTTGGCATATGTTGAGGATATAATCTAGCCCAGGTCCCCTGCTCAAGTAAGGTCACCCAAACCATATATAAAACATAAAGGGGGAGTATGCGCAGCTCTGAAGGAAGAATGTTGTCTGTATGCCGATCACACTGGCATAGTGAGAGATACTATGGCCAAACTACGGGAGAGACTAGAAAAACGAAAAAGGGAACGAGAGGCAGAACAGAATTGGTTCACATCCTGGTTCACCAATTCACCGTGGCTTACCCCCTTAATGTCTACCCTGATAGGGCCGGTTATAACAATCCTGATAGCACTGATTTTTGGACCCTGTATATTGAATAAGCTGATGTCATTTGTCAAAAGCCGTTTGGGAAAGGTTAACATCATGCTCATAGAACGCCAACAGTTGCTTTAGGAATGCTCTTGTTCAGAATTTTTGGTCTATCCCCAGTTATACCCTGTCATTCTCTGCTATCACTTGTTTCACGTGCCTTGCCCGATGCGCTCTGCATCCCTATTTCAAGCATATATTGCGTTTGCAGAAACTGTTTTCAATGTTGTGTGAAAGCATAAACCATATACTGTTGTTATACCCAGCTAGTTTTATTAAGCATAGGGAGGGGGGAAATGTAGGTAGTTAGGGCCTGGCGGCCAGAAGATATCGCGCTGTACGGAAAGATAGGGCCCCCTGTTTAATAGCCAATAGTATGTAGCCTGTGATGTAAGCAGGCGGAAGTGACGCTGTAAACCCAGAGTATATAACGCTGTGTTGCGAACTAATAAACACCATTTGCCGTCCACCACACTGGTGTCTGTGAGCTGATGGCCCGAGCAGCCTGGGGTTGGTCGCCGTGCCGTTCCTGAACCAGGTCGCCACGCCTTGCGAAGGCAACACTCCGGGGATGAGATTTACTGCTGCAAGTTAGAAACCCTCCCAGACCACTCAAAGCATTGCATCCCTGGCAGAGCTGTCCCACAGTGTTTCATGTCCCTGCACCCTACCAGTGCTTTTATCTGCATGTGGCAAGTGCTGGGGAAAAGACACACAGACGTCATAGCTTTGCTTCCCTGACAGTGAGACTGAGACTGAGCTCTTGCTCAGACCAGAGAGGGGGGAGGACAAGAACCACCCAAAAATGCCACAAGCCCCCTTCCCACCGCCACCACTGGAAATGATTGGGAAGCACACACATCAACATCGCAGGGCCAGTAGTGTCGGCCACAACCCTTTCCCTTGGACACAAACTCCCCAAGAAACATAATTGGGATGGGAAAACCTTGTGGGCCTGCGAAACCATGATTTAGGTCAGGGAATCATCAGCAGGGGAGGAAACCATTGCGAGTGGAAGCTGTTGGGCTCCATTGGCCTTGAGGCTGCTGAAGCAGCCAGGATGGGTGGACCGCTGGGGCAGAACCTGTTGAAAAGAGGAAGTTGGCCCAAGCCCAAATGACACTGGTCAACAGTCATGGCAGGTATAGCAGCAGCTCCTGCTCCTCTTGGTGCCCCTGCCCTCCAGGTAGCCCCCCAGCTGGCTTGGCCTCCCAGTTTCTCACCCCATCACCTCTCTTTGCTTCTCTCAACAGAGGTTTCCCCTCCAGCTGCCGATGGCATTGTTAAGTGTCTGGTCTGAACTCCACTGCTCTGGCCATGCTGCCTCCCATCATTACCCATGTGTTACCCTCTGTTCCAGGGCTGCTGATGTCCTTGGGGCCTGCACAGGACCAGCCTGTCCCCCAGCAGCTGGTGCAGGGGGTGTCAGGGCCCCTCGGGACTCCATTGCAGCTGCTGCAACTCCCCTCTGCAGTGCCACTCCCACCCATGGCACAGCTCTCCTGCGCCCATGGACAGGAGGTGTCCTCCAGCAAGGACAGGGCAGCCGTGGAGGGCTGCATCCCCACCGCCAGTCCCCACCAGCCTGCCTGGGCCCTGCAGACTCCCAGAAGCCCAGAGGTGAGGCTTAGGAGGCTGAGGAGCCTGAGAGTGGGCAGCCAAGCTGAGCGAAGCTTCTGTCACCTCAGGCTTGACTTGGCTTTGCTTTGTTTGCTTTTTCAGCAGTGGTGACCACCCCAGAACCCCTGGGGGAGCCTATGGAGGTGTCTGAGCAGGGACCAGCCACATTTGCAGGGGCCTTTCCTGAGCAGGCAGAGGACATCACCTTCAACCATCAGCTTGCCTGTTCTGACGCTGCAGACAGAGATGACACCATCCCACCATCGTCTGGGCTGCCTTCCTCCATGAGTTCCCTGAACTCTCCAAGTACACTGTAGAGGGTGGTGGCATGGTGGTGATGGGATAGGGGACAGTGAGGACACTTTCCCTGGTGGCTTTGATTTTCCCATCAGCCTCACCATCACTGACTTTTTCATTGAATTCTTAGATTTCCTGGAGCACGTGGTGAATGGTGACTGCCCACTGGACCAGGTGGTACTGGCACAGGGACCAGACATTGAGTACACCACCGTGACCACTGATGTAACCAAGTGTTCTGTCAAGGTCTTCCGTGAGGTCCCTGAACTCTCCAAGTATGTGGTGGAAGGGGGCTACCCCAAAGAACCGTCAGTGGTGGTGGGCCTGGGGGCTGGCAAAGACACAGTCCCCGATGTCCCCAGAATGCCCATCCTAACCAGCAACCTCAACAAGCTCCCCCAGTTCTTGGAGTACAGGGCAGAAGACAGCTGCAGTGGTGAGTTCGAGGATGATGACACCACCTTCTGCAATGGCCCTGACATCCTTGCCAGCACCACTTCCTTCAGCCAAGTCCCTGACTTGCTGCAGCACTGGGTGCAGACTGGAAAACCAGGGACCAGGCAGCAGCAGTGATGCTGGGGGATGCTGACCCTTTCTGTGCGGTGGCAGCTTCCCCATTGCAGGACCCACAGGTGGAGCAGGTCAGGGTGTCAGCAGACCTTCCTCCCTGGCCACCACTGAACCCCTCTGAGAGTTCTGAGGAGAGCTCTGTGGAGAGCTCTGTGTGCAACTCTGAGGAGACTTGAGAGGCTCCAGGGTACAATGCTGAGGAGAGTCCCTGGAAGGGTCCCCTGACAGTTCCTACAGAGGATCTGCTGATGAGCCTGTCATGGCCGCCCAGGGTGGTTCTGAAACGCTTGCCACTGCAGAGCCCCCAGGCCAGTTCCCCCAGCTGCTTTCAAGCACCATCCACACTGCACAGCTCCACTGGTGCAGGAGGCACTGCAGAGGCAGCCCAGGGTGGTTCTTACCCACTTGCCACTGAGGAGTCCCCAGGCCAGGCCCCTGTCGGCCCTCCAGCACCATCCACCCTGCACAGCCCCACTGGTGTAGGTGGCACTGCAGAGGCATCCCAGAGTGGTTTTGAGCCCCTTGCAACTGCTGCTGGTCCTCTTCTCCTGCCAGGGGGTGCCCATACTGGGAGAGGTGGGCCACAAGCAGGCCAAATGCCCTGTGCCAGCCAGTACCCCTAAGGAGGAGGAGTCTTCCCAGCAGGACAACATCCCACCTAAGAAAAGGAATAAGATGGTGCTGCCCTGGCTGACCAAGCACTAGGAAATGCTGTGCGAGGGCAGATGGATGGAGACACCACTGCGGACATCGGGCAGGAAGCAGCAAGGGGAGAGCTGATGACACCCTGCACCAACTGCACAGCGTGCTTCCTGAACTCCATCCAGAGTTTCTACCCAGTGGAGCAAGGAGTGAAGGTGCTGGGGACACTGTGACCACCGCGCTGAAACCATAACAGAGCTGGAAATCACCCTGAAAAATCTGGAAGAGAGTGCCATGGCATCCAAGTCCTTACAAAATCAAATGAACAGGTTACAGAACAAAATGTTAAAACAGACTCTCTCCTTGTAGACTCATGGAATCAACTAGATCAGAAAAGACCCTTAAGATCATAAATTGGAAGTAACAAATGTCAAACTGGGGGCAGCAAGAACAAAGAGTGAAATAGAAAAAAAAAGAAACAAGCTGCAAAGCAAAATGGATGGACTCCTGTCAGACATGGAAATTCTTAAGGCACCTATTGAACATTGTAAGGAGCTTTTAGTAGAAAAGGATCGGGAGCTAATTCATAAAGTGCAAGCTGCCAAAGAGGAAGTTTCTGAAAAAATTGCAGTCTTACAGGATGAAAAGTTAGAACTTGAGAACAAATTAGCTTATCTAGAGATGATGAAACTGGAACAAGTTACTTTGAGACAATCTGAAAAGGATCAGTATGAAGAGAAACTATATGTGTTACAGATGGCAGAAGAATCTAGCAAAAAGGAACTTCAGTGTTTGCGGACTTTTGAATGCAAACGAATGGAATGGCTGGAGGAGAAGCACCTGCTTACTCAGCGCATGACAGAGAAAGAAGACAAAATACAACCAAATGAAGAACAAGCTATGTTGAGCTGCTGTTGCTCAGAAAAAGAGAAAGACTCTCAATGATAATAAGCAAAGGAGGATGAGAGAGAAGCTAGAACTTTTGGAAGCCAAGATAGAAGAGCTAGAAAAAGAAAATAGGAGCAGCATCAAAGAGAGCTTCCCCTGCTTCGCAAGAGGCTGGATAGACTAGAAACCACACAGAGAAAACACCTGCAGGATCTCGGACCATCCAGAGAGTGAGTACTGGTGGGCACACACAGGAACTTGGCTACAAACAAGATCACTGGAGAAGGCGATGCCCAGAGTGAGGACTACAAATAAAAACAGTGAACTCTCCCTGCTGTTAGTGGTCATTAGCTCATCCTTTGTACGTGCTTTTCCTAAGTAGCAAGTCTCTTCTCCCAAGTTAGAAGTGATAGGACAAGAGGTGATGGCCTCAAGCTGCACAAGGAAGGTTTAAATTGGATATTAGGAACAATTTCTTCCTTGAAAGGGTTGTCAAGCATTGGAACAGGCTTCCCAGGGAAGCGGTGGAGTCACCATCCTGGAAGTGTGAAAAAATGTGTGAATGAAGCCCTTAGTGGCCAGTCAGGTAATTCGTTCACTCACTTCCCCCCCTTTTCTTGCCCTCCCCCTGCTCGCGGAGGGACGGAGAGGAAAATCGAAAAGAATGCAACTCCCACAGGTTGAGATAAGAACAGTTTAGTAACTAAGGTATAACACAAATCACTACTGCTACCACCAAGGATAATAATGATAAAGGAAATAACAAGGGAAGAGAATACAACATCTCACCACCAGCCGACCGATAACTCGCCCCCCCCAGCCCGACCAAGCTCCGACCGATACCTCCTCCAACCCTGCAGTCTCCCAGCCCTTCCGGCTCACTCCCAGTTACATCCTGGGCATGACTTGCTGTGGTATGGAATACCTCTTTGGTCAGTTTGGGTCAGGTGTCCTGTCTCTACTTCCTCCTGGCTTCCCCTCCTCCCTGGCAGAGCATGAGGCTCACAAAGTCCTTGGCCAAACCTAAACATTGCTGCTATCAGCTCTGTTCCCGAGCTGAAAGTCAAAACACTGTACTACACCAGCTACCAAGGAGGAGAAAAATGACTGCTACTGCTGAACCCAGGACATTATCCTTCCCTCCCAGCCTGCTAGAGCAGGTGGCATGGCCTGGCTGCCATCTCACGACCACCATCTCACCACCGCCTGTGCTCCCAAGCAAAGATAGTTCAATCCCTCTGAGCAGTCAAAATCCCAAGCCCCAAAACAAGAAACTGAATCAAATTCAGTGGTGACTGCAAAGTCCCTTTGCATGGACTGGTACCCGTCAGCTGCAGCAGCACAAACTCTTGGAAAGATCCACGCTGACAGGAGCCGGGGCAAAACTGGACTTGTGGCACCCAACCCACCATCATTTATGCTTCTGTAAGTAACAGTGCAATTGGAACTGTAGCACTGTTCCCCCTTCCACGCTGTGGCAACCAGCATCATTCACTTCTCTGCCCCACTGCACCCATAGGCATTCATACCTATATTTTAGTTACCTCTGCAGCTGAAATAATGCTCCACATTGTTCCTCACTGTCCTGAAGAAGTACAGAGCTGTGCCTATTGTCACAAATAAATCCCTGCTCCACCACTGACCAGGTGGATAGTACCTCTGCACAGCCAAAGCTATTCCCACATTTGAGGATCTTCAGGGCTCTCTTTGAGGAGCAGGCTGAACTGAATCATATTTTCTCTCACACATAGATGGTCTCCAGCAGCTTAACACCAGCCTACACCAGTGTGCAACCCAGCTGCTGGCTGTTTATGGTAACATTTGAGAATTTTTAAGAATTTAATATCCTTTGCATACACTTGAAGCCAACCTGGTCCTTTTGCTGGGACCCAGCATGTTGTTGCATGTGGTTCAGATCTTGCTTAAGGTGAAACAGCTATCTAAGAATGTCACCAAGAGATCTTTCCCAAGGCTGGACTCTCATGAGTGGCAGGGTGTGCAGGACAGTATGGGAAAATACTCCAGTGGCACCTCTGGTGCTTTGGAACTTCACCCCTGAACAAGTGTAAAATCTGGACAAACTAGTAAAACATTTAGACAAGGTGTGCATCCTGGCACCACCAGACAGGGACAAACCACTGCAACCTGCTGGGGCCTTGGCCATGCCTACTGCTCAACACTATCCAGTACCCTCAAGGGCAAAAGATGTTTGGATCTGATGGCAAAGCAGCAGAAGCAGTGGCTACTCCAACCCCAGCAACAAGCACTGCAGCTGCTCCAATGGCAGCAACAGATACTGCAACTAGTGTCTGTTGGTGGGGTTGGATAGTTGCAGTCACCGCAACTACTGTCACTGGGGTTTGACCAGTCTCAGTCACCACAACTAGTGCCTATTGCTGGGGTTGGACTAGTAGCAGTCACCACTACTAAGTATAGTTAAAAGGTGTAAATGTGTGTGCCTTAGTAAGTTATGTGGGTTCACAACTCAAACACAATGAATTTTACAATACCCCATCCTCCAAACACTGTCAATTATTTTCATATTCAAGCCCTGTCATTCTTGGTAATTATCTATTTTTGCAATATGGCTTAATGCCAAAATTATCAGTGCGCTGAGAGAGGGTTTTTATTCTACACCAGCTACATTTTTCCCATCTGTTTTGTAATTTTGGGACAGAAAGGCAATAGACATCTGAGTTAGTGTTGATAACATTTAAAAGTTTTACCAGCAAAAAGTAACTGCCAGTATGAACAGTATGGTTGTAATGATGAGGTACAACTATTAAGGTAACCCTAGGTCTTCTCTTTTCTTTTTTTCCAGTTGTCCCCCATTTTTTGTTCCAGCAGTACTCAAAGAAAGCACAAACCAATTATGTGTTGCACAAGGTTTCTCTTGGAATTAAAATCAGCATTAATTCCCTAGTGAAGTCCAGGGTAAGTGAAACAGCATAAAACTGGTGGCAATAAACAGACAAGTACGTAAGTAAGATCCAGATCAACAGAAACAGCCTAAAGTTCATCACATAACATTAGTGTATTATTTAAAACACAGTTCAAAGAAAATAACTCAAGTAAATTTTCAAAACCTATAACTTTAATCGAAAAATCAATGAGCAAATAATCTTACGTGAGGAAGAAAGAGGAAGGAGCTAATATGCTGGATTTGTGCAAAATTTCATTTGACTGTTTCTCCTTTTGTAGAAACATTTTCCCTTATATTCCTTTGGTTTTATTCAGAAAAATGCAAGCTAATAACAGAATATTATTAGTGTTGGGTAAATAGTATGAAAATTTGGGCTTTGCAGGTGAGTATTTCGTTTTAACAAGGACTTTAAGTTCCTGCTACTTTTTGTTGCTGGAAGGAAAATGCTTCTTATTTTTTCAGAGTTCATATGTGGAGAGGGAAGAGCGGTGGTGTCTGCTGATTACTGGACAGGTAAGTTAGGGTCTGATTCCACAAAGGACTTAATCATACAGCAGTATGATTTCCTACAGCTCTAGGAAATAAATAGTAGGATAGAGTCTGTTGTGTAACACTGTGTGTATCATAAGCTTGTTTTTCAGTGCCAAACCTGCCTCTTAAAAGAGTTTAGCAGTTCTGTTGTCTGACCTTTTATCTTGAGCTTGAGGAAAAGAGATCTTGTGTCAAGTCCTTAGGCAGGGTGCTCTGAGGTCTCTCTACGTTTCTTGTGTAGACATCAATGAAATCTGAATCAAAATTTCCTTGCTTCCTCCAATGCTCACAATTCAATCAGCTTGTGTGAAGTTGCGTAAATGCTTATACTATGTTACAGTGGACATTCCCCTTCACCTCAAGTTGAGCTCATGAATCAACTGTTCTCATGAATTTCTGCTTCTGCTCCGTTTTATTATGTATATTACTGACATTATTGCAAAACTCTGAATCAATGGTGGTACTGTTTTGCCTTCTAGGGGAAGGAAGTACCTTGCTTTGTGCCCTAGTCAAGAGTGGGCTAGCTCAGTTGGCTGAAGGGCAGATCCACATTTTCACTATTTCCAGTGTTTTATAGCGTATGTGTACACATTGAGAAGGGCTGCTGGGGGTAGAGGAGCTTCCTGTCTCATGATCTTGCAGCAGCAGATCTCTTCAAATGCCTCTGTAGGTACACTGAACCTTACAGAAAATTTGAATGAAACTGTAGTAGACACTGTTTATCAGTCTCATTTTTACACTGTTGAAAAGCAAAAAGGAGAGAAATATATGTTTGAAAAATCATCAAGGGTAAAAGTTTCCAGAATTGTGGAAGATAAAAAGATCTTCGGAGAGGTGAGAAGTTGAATTCGTCTACATCACATTCTTGATAAATGTCAAAGCCCTTGGCATATGTGTTTTTTGTTTTAGATGGCATTACAAATTCAACTCCTTGGTATTCATTTAGAAAAGAGATCTGTCAATTTCATGTGGCTATTTACATCATAGTGAAAAAATTACGGTAAACGCTGATAGTGCTCTGCTGCACTCTGTGTTTGCCTCGTTCTTTCAGGGCTTGAAAAATTAAGCCAAGTTGAAAATATTGGTAATATGCATTTATTTTATTAAAATCGTCAAATAAAGAAAGGAAGACAGGAGAAGGAATTCAGGGATTACATGGTATGAATGAATTTGTTTCTTGTTTATTCCCATTACATTTAATAAGTAATTACATTTTAGGGATTTCAGAAATAAGTAAAGTACATTTCTTATATCTTTCTATGGCTGTTAGCAGGGTACTTAACCATGGCTAATAATAAATAGTCATAGATGTAATAGAGACATTACAATTTTTACTTGTAAAGTGATTGTTGTGAGTCCTGGTAAGGCTGACCAATGGTTTCCAAGGGTAAATACAGATGCAGCAGCATTAAGCTGGGAAAACTCAGAGGAAGTTTATAATGACCTGAGGTAACTTATTCTGAAGGTAGCTCAGTTAAATACTCAATGTTGCAGATCATAGGATCTGTTTTTTTTTCCTTGCTCATGTGGGATGATTGGTCCCAGGGTCTAGAGAATATTCAGTCCTCGGACAGGTATTTTAAACGTATGAACAGATGGAGGGTCAGCGTTTAAGCGTGCAGCCTTGATTCACACCGAAAAGGCCACTTTAGTATAATTACAGTGGGTTTGAATTGTGGCAAGAGAAATTTACCTTAGATATTAGGAAAAAAATTTCTAATGATAATCTAATTAAATCCTGAAATGGATGGGAGAATAATTGAGGGCACTAAGGAATTACTGTTGTTGGAGACTTTTGAGAACAGGCAGACGCATGCCTGTTTAACTTATAATTCACCCTGTCTTGTAATTTGTGAGCGGCACTATGAACCTGTTG